CAACAAGTTGCATTTGTATAGCGCATTCACATGGGGTACCGTCCCGGAGTGCTTGTCAGTCTAGTTAATGAGCTCAAAGTGCCAAAGTGAGGCTTTAATGCTACCAAGATTCCACGTTTCTGTGCAGTGTACCATAACCATTCTGCAAGCCAGAATCCTATCCGAAGGTGAATAAGATCCAGACTTGTTGACGTAGCTTTATTTTTAAGCTGTTTTCTGTTTCAGGCAGAAGTATTTGGGCCATCAAACCTGCCCGCCTGGGTTAACATCATATATGCTGGAAGTTCTCTTGGAGATTCTAGTTGAAGGAGAGACGTTGTTTTGCAAAAGTAGTTGTATCATAAGGAGGCATCTAAAAGTTACAACTGTTTATGAATGGTCATTGTCATATTTTGCAGTGTTTCTTAATAGGAAGGTTTAATTGTTGAAATTCTAAAACTGTTTTAGAAGTAGGATATTTACACATTTCTTATTAAACATTTGCTAAGAACATAAGAACATAAGAATTAGGAGCAGGAGGAGGCCATTCGGCCCCTCGAGCCTGCCCCGCCATTTCATAAGATCATGGCTAATCTTCTGTCCTAACTCTGATTACCTGCCCTATCCCCATATCCCCTAATCCCTCTGTTTTTTAAAATCTGTTAGTCTCATCCATGAAGGTGTTCAAGGACTGAGCATCTACAGCCTTCTGGGGTAGTGATAAATTCACTACCCTCTGAGTGAAGAAATGTTTCCTCAACTCTGTTCTAAAAGGCTAACCCTTAATTTTAAGACTGTGACCCCTGGTTATAGATTCTCCTACCAGGGGAAACAGACCCTCAGTGTCTACTTTATCCAGCCCTTAAGAATCTTATATGTTTCAATTCTTCTGTACTCTAGAGAATATAGCCCTAATTTATTCAGCCTATCCTCATAGGTCAGTCCCCTCATCCCAGGAACTAACCGAGTGAATCTACACTGCACCCCCTCTAGGGCAAGTATGTCCTTTTTTAAATAAGGAGACCAAAACTGCACACAATATTCTAGGCGCGGTCTCACCAAGGCCCTATACATTTGCAGCAAGACTTCCCTACTCTTGTACTGCAAGACTTCCCTACTCTTGCAATAACATAGATTTGATAAGATTTATTCTGAACTCATGATCAAGTAAACTGTCTTCCCCCAAATGAAATTGCATGTTCCTGATACTACTTTGCTTTCAAAGGGTGTAAGGTATGTTTATTTGCTAAGTTTTCTAATTTTCTAATTTGCTAATTTTATTCCTATTATTCCTCTTTATATTTGTGCTTTATGACGAGTTTGAGATCCTGGTTCTCACCTTCTAAGCCCTCCATGGTCTTGCTCCCCTTTACTTCTGCAACCGCCTAACCTTCTACCATCCTGCTCGCTCCCTCCTCTCAGCGGGCTCCCCTGCCCTCCACCCTCCCTGATCCCAACCCCCAACTCAGGTCCAAAACTCTGTCTGTCCAGCCTTTTGGGACGTCCTCCTGACGTGAAAGGCACTATGCAAATGTAATTTTGTTGTTGTTGTTTTTAAAATGACAACATCCCATGTACTTTATTGAATGACAGCGTCTTGGGATGTCCTCCCAACATGAAGGGTGCTATATAAATGTAATGTTGTTGTTGTTGATTTCTTACCAATCAATTAAAAAGATCTATGAACTTAAATCCTAGATCTCGCTCGTGCTTCCCTTTCAAAGCATACTTCCAAGCACTATTCTTCCATGCCAACTGCAATACCTCATACTTTGCAATGTTAAACTCAATTATGGTGCTCTCTTCAAAAGAGAAGAGAGTTTCTCCCAATCTCCTGGCCAACAATCCCTCAAATTAAAATTGGTAATTCGCTTAATGGCTGTCTGTGGGATATTGTTGTGCACAAATTGGCTGCTGTGCTTGTCTACAAAATAGTCACTGTATTTTATAGTAAATCTTACAAGGTGGTTTGAGACGTCTCCCAACATAAATGGCACTATATCAAATGCAAGGATTATTATTATTATTTATTTCTTCTTTCTGTCAACATGATTACATTTTTAAAATTTAGTATATACTTTATTCTTTTTCCCAAAATATATTTAACATTTCTTATCATTAAACTGCATCTGCCACATACCTGCCCACGTATGTGGAATCTGGTAGCTATCGAAGACTAATAATTGAACCTGAAAGGCAACAGTACTAAAAGGATGAGTGATACGAAATCCAATTATATCATTGGAGATAGTTATCTTATGTGAATTGGGCACTTGCCTTCAAATGCAAGGATTATTAATATGAAGAAAGCTCTGGAAGCCCTTGTAATTGCAACAAGGATGAAATGATGACTTCCAACCTTCATTTTTGAGTGGGTCAAAGCTTTCTTTTACCTATTGTTTACTGCATATATATTTGAAAAATCCTTTGTCCTTTGTTTGAATGGGAAAATGTTGGATTTCCATGTGCATGTGAAATGTGCATTTCCAGCAACTTTTGTTTTTGTTTGAGTTATTCATTTATTCCTACGTTCTGAAGCTGCCGCTAAATCATATAAATTAGATAAACTTCTCACAAAGCAAATGTAATGCTTAAGGCAGGGAAATTCAAAGCAGTTTAAAGATGCTGCAAGATTCACAATTGATGAGAATAATCAGCACTTTTAGGTTTGAAACGCTAATCTCATCCTGAGGTCGCGTAAGACTAAAGGAAATGTTATAAGCAACAATTGAAAGATAAATAATAAAAAAAATTCTGTTTCCTTAGCTCTTTAAGTAGAATAAGTAATATCATTAGAATTTTTATTGATCCACATAATCTTCATTTGTGTGACTTGGATTCTTTATGAAGATGTCTGATGATGATTAAACATCTCTATTGAGATGTATTGAAAATCTCACCCTATTGTATACATACATCAAACTATGGAGGAGAAATTCCACTGGGGTCTAGACTTACTTTATTAACATAGTTTGTCATGGCTTCCAGAATTCGGCAAATCCTTGACTATGTCTTAATTTGGAATCTGGTTTTCTGTCAATTCTTTTTAAAAGCCAACTTCAAAGTTAAAACTGAATTCAACAGTTTGCCAAATGCTGGACGTGTTCTAAAATGTAACACGATCGAAGTAAATCTGAACCCAGGTGGATTTTCACCCAACATATCACTCAGGTAGAAATAGACAAATTGCTACAATTAATTTGAATGCCACAGCAGTAATTTCAATCATGTGGTTATTAGCCAT